GCTTGCTCTAGGGACACTTCCCATCACAGTTTTCCACTTCAGGATTCTCACCTTGTGGTTTTCCCTACTATAGGTGCCGAGGATTTAGAGTGTCAAGAAAGCCTAGAGGGAGAACAAGAAAAAGTCCTTTTGAGTTTAGGGGCAAAGGAGAGGGTCATTGGGTCCGCCCACGAGGATACTCTCCAAGATCTTGACAGACTCCGCACTCTCTACTCTAAAACAAGTCAGCCAACCGATAGAACTGTAGCGCTGTGGGAAGGGCTCCTTCGTTTGCAACGAACGATGCTCGGGCGTCACAACCCGGATACCCTGAAAAGCACTGAAGGCCTCGCACGACTATATCTCCAAAGAAATGAATTGAGAAAGGCACGGCGCTTGGTGCATGAGGTTGCATGTGTCAAACTGCATCTTTTCGGTGATAAGGGCGAACATGCTCTCGAATCTTTGAGGCTCATAGAAAGTCTCAACAGGGCGGCCGCCCATGCGGAGGAATCTCAACCACCTGACCATCTTGAGCAATTAGCCATAGCATTAATTCACACTTCCCTCACAGATGCGTTCAGCTACAGAACTTCCGTGGAATGGACATTCGAGATACTCATAACACAAACCAATTACGACATAGGGCTATATGCGATTGGGCTATGCGTAAAATCCACAACCGCTTTGTTTGGACTCCGGCCCCAATTACACTCAAAACGGGTTCCAAGTACCTTAGATTCCAGGGCAGCTACGTTAGATCCTGATGCCAACACCAACCAAAATTGGTGGCTCAAGGGCCGAGGCACTCTTTGCAGACTTCTCGATTCTCGTTTAAATCAACTTGAAAAACGTATCCAGATCGCAGAGAAGGACCCAAGGGTCAACGAGACTGAGGTTCTCTACGCTAAACAAATGCTTGCCTGTGGTCGTATACTTCCATGTCTTGACGAAAACTACCCACAGAGTTTAAGTTCATTATGTCTCCAAAAAGCCTACCAAATTCAAGCCGATTTATACATGCAAGGCCACGACTTTCGAGGTTTACCAACACAGAATCCGTATTTTATCCTAAACCCTGATATGAGAAAACAGGGGGAGAACCTTTGGTCTGTGACCCAAGATCTGCTACGCAATAAATATTCTAAGAGGCGCTTCCTGTTTCATAGACTCAGTGAGTATACGCTGGGAGACCCTTATTCTGATGATCGCACTAGACTCTTGCCACCCGTCAAACGCGGTCCTGGCGACGAATACCAACCCACAATCATGGTCCTGGATCCAGATTACTCCCTTGGCAACTCTTTCATAACACTCATAGAGCAATTGAGACCAGGGGCGAGCGACGGAGGCCCTCATGATAGCTCGATGTGTACCGCTGCCTGCGGCTATATGGCTCTAGCTTATAGGGAGAAATTGATTCCCCCTGGTCGGGAAAATATTGACCAAGCTATCGACTCCGTTGAAAAGTTGGTATGGAGGGCGAACAATGATGAAGTGCTTCTTGAGCGAATAGATTGTCTAACTGACCTCTTGAGATTCCGGTATCAAGCCACTCAAAACATCAAAGACCTTCAAGCAGTAGTGTTGTTGATGGAGCAACTGACACATTCTGGGGCCTCAAATGAATTCCCAGCGCAGACAAGCATCGACGAGTTGTGGCGTGGCCTTCGGATAGGGCCATTGTGGGTAAACCTATTCTTGGGTAGGATAAAGCTGACCCCACACTCTGGGGCCTCAAATGAGAATGATGAATTCTTCACACCGGAGACAAACATCGACATGTTGCGGCAGCTGTCGGATGACCTTCAAGTGATCTGGTGGCAGCTGAAGGATGATGATACCTTTCATCACCTTGTAAAAGTTCAACTGCGTTTGATTACTGGAGAGGGGGTTGGGGGGGACCCTAGGGTGGTTCTGGAAGCATGGCTTGTGCTGACAACCGTGTATCTAAGGCATCTTTTAAAGGACGTCGATGGAAACATATTACGCATAACGCAATTTCTGGATCTCGGCATCTGGTTCTTAAGATTTTTCATAGCAGAAGACACACTACATAGGCTCGGAGATCGAGAGCCATCGAAGGAAACTAACCCCGAGGCTGACATGTCATTGTCTCGTACCCAGACCCTCCGACGGCGTGACATGTCAAAATTCCTACCGATAATATTAACACTCTGCGCGATTTACGAATTATTAACGACTTTTGTACCCGACTCCGCGAATCAGTTCTCGGAGGCTACCGCGGATCTGCCTCGAGACACAGTGAAGGGTCTTCGAGACACAATGAACGGTCTTGATCTGGCTTTGGGGTCCATATCAGTTGCATTATCTTATCCCGATGAAGGAGACCTATTGGTCCCCTTTTTAAAAAAAATCCGCGAAGATATTGCCGGCCTCAAAAACCAAGTTGAACATGGCACGAAATTCAACCTCGGGACAGGAATCTCGCCACATCTCCTACACTTTTTTAAAACTTACTTTCCGGAACCAGACTCTTATGAAAATCGGGTTCCCTATTGGTGTTTCTGGCCTACAAATAGGTCGAGAGATTATATTTTAGAATATGCATGAAGACTAGCCATGTAGTTTAATCCGCAATAGTTCATGGATTGGTTGTTGACCCGCAATTAATTAGAATTAGAAGTTTAGTATAATGCCCTCGCAAGGTCTTTAGTGCGCTGTGACCAAGACCAGTCTCTTATAGGTTTACAAATACCCGCTGCCACCTTAAATAGCACGGAAACCTGACGACAACCAGCTATGCTACTAGTTAACGAACGCCCCCCCCCCCCCCCGGGGGGGGCTAGGTACGAGATAAATTTTGTACCTATCTATAGTAATTTCGAATTATTGTAGATATTCGATTTTCAAGATAGTTGATTTTTCAATTCACTGGTTACCTACACCACTTGCAAATTCCACACATTTCTACGAGGCTCAACGGATTGATATTGAGAGTCCCCAGAGGGAAAATAGATAGGTATTCAGGGGCCTAACTCAAAGTCTAGGTCATGATTAAGTATACTAGTAGTTAGCTTGAATTTATAAAATTAGAGCTCAACCTTTTTGTTAATTTCAAAGCTAGGTACCGTACAGTAGGATATCGGGATACATAAATTTTATGACGAGCTAGGCCCACCATGCTGGCTTGCCACATTTGGGTTGATATAAAAATATACATGGGCTTTATCTAGATGCCTTAGTACCTTGGTAGCTATGCATGGTTGCTACGATCAACGTAATTCAACGTAATTTCACATTTACATGATATCATATCACAGTCGCTAGCGCTAGTATAGTAGACCGACCGCATGTCAATATATTTTGAAATTTTCTTGGCAGAGCTAGCGTCCCATGGCTAGCGCCAACTCCGCAACTTAACTAGAGGGAACCTGTTGGTTAACCCCAAACTTCTATCAAGAGCGAGACTTCATCCGATCTTTCAACATTCCTCGTCAAACAATTACAGACTCCACCCATGATCAACATGCCATCAAGCATAGACACCGAAAGCCTACCACTTATAAACCGTGGTAGGGATGCTGTCCGTCGAGTTTCGTCCGTTTGGGTTGGTTTTCGAGGTACGTACAATCGGGGCATGCGACCAGCTGCCGTTATCTGCTAGCACTAGTAATTTGCTTCTCGTGTGTCTAACAACTATACAGACTTCGCCCTTCGCGACAATGTCCTCGAGGTCGCCGTCGGTCTTATGTGAGTTACTGCCTCCAACCTAACTATCTATCTACTTAAAGTTTGGAGCAAGCGCAGCTGCGCATGCGGTGCAACTTTTTGTCCACGGGCCCAAGGACCGATTGGACGCCCCTGAACTTAAGCTTGTATCCTTGTGTTACGTCACAATGCCGCTAACGGTAACACCAACAACGCAGTGTTGCCTCTGCATTTACATCCGTCGTCAACTCTCTTGTCGCTGATATCATCCTGCCCCCGATATCTTTGATGTGGCAGCAGAGTCTTGCCGAAAACTTCATAGTTCTAAAGCAGGGCCATAATGCAACTGCCCATTATAATACCTTCCAACAGGCTCAAAATGATGGGGCGATTACTTGGAATTATGGGTATGTTTAGGTCCTTTCCTTTCGACCGAAATTGATATCGATATCGGTGTTGCGCAGTAGCTATACATTTATCAAGATTACAAGATAGCTAACAAGTACTAGACACTTCATGGAAAAACTCATCCAATTCATGCTACTCGGTGTTACGCTCTACGCTCTTGCAAAATTCTACTCTCTGTTCTCGAGCGAGGCTATTATCAAGTATCAGACCAAATGTCCAGCCTGCAGGAAGGATATCTCTGCAACAGCGAAGAGATGTCCATTTTGCACCAGCTGGCAGGATGGGTGTGAAATCAGCAACCGTTAGATCATGAGTACTCTACTGCGACTTGACATTTTTAAAACGATTGGGTTAACTGGAACGGAGTTGTGGAAGGCGGGGGTTGTTTATCTGTGGCACCTAGCGGCGTATTGGGGTAGAATAATTGATTGGTGTATTAGCGGCATTATATCTGGTTTGGATTTGGGGGTGTAGGTTGGTTTCTGGAGTTTTTGGCGGTGATAGATGCTGGGCATCCAATTTAAATTTGATTGGTTTTAGTAAAGAAGGTTGTAAGAAGAGAGGAAGGAATGGAAGGAGAAGAGCATATGTACACAGCTATGGGAGAACAATACAAGACGTTGGAGAGTATCAATTTTAGGGAAAACTTGTCTCGTAAACCAGGGAAAACCCAATTAGCCAAGCTAGAATTTACATGGACTCAGATAGCCGATGTATACACAGATGCCTATAAGGCTTAGCACGGAAACTAGTAACGGCAATCCAGGATCTCAGAACAACAAGCCCGCAAACCTAGCCCTAAAATCAAAGCCTTCCTTCCCTATCTACCATAAACCAAGCCAAACCCTGAGACTACAGGGAGATATAACCCAAACAATCAATACGCTCTCACGAAACTAACATTATAATTCCATTTCAAATCCGACACTCCAACAAAGCAAGCGTTTGTGGTTTAGTGGTAAAATTGATCGTTGCCATGACTTCAAGTCACAGCCTCGATCAGCCCCGGGTTCGATTCCCGGCGGACGCATTACTTTCTAATACGCCTTCGGGCGTTTCCTTTTGCGAAAACTTTTTTTGGTTGTGTCGGTTATCGTCACTTTCCTTTTTGGGCGGTTGAATACGAAATATAACACTCTCAACACATACTTGTTTTTGTATACAGTTACACAAGTTCTATGGCACGAGATTCGGTCGGTAAATACCATCTTGTTTGCTAGATCTTTTTAATGATGCTATTTTTGCTATTGGATATCATACAAGAATGAGACTCCTAAACTCCGTGGTAAATCAACGTGATCGTTGAGTAAAGAATGTGTGTGTAGGGTATTATTATTAGACACAGCTAGCGGACGTAGACCCCTTGCTTCCAAACGAGGCCCTCTTTGATATGTAATAGTCGCTACCATGATTTATATATATGCTTTTTTTGAATTTATTTTAATTTTTATTTTTTTGTTCATTTCTTTAGATACCCCTACTTTTCGAGGCTCTTCCTCTCGCCCTTTGGCGGCGACTTACTGCGGCCCCTCTTTGTGCTATATTTAATCGCAGCCGCTTGTTCCGCAATAATCGCGTTATTCCATGCTGTATTGCTCATCGGTGCCGATGTCTGTATCGGATTTAGAGCCTGTTTAGTCGACCTACCCCCTCGGACGCTGCCCTTTGTGCTTCTTCGGGGCATCAACAACTGTCTCTGTGTTGCCGGCGATAAAATCCGCTTAGGTGTCTCCGGCCCATCGCCTTCGTTTATCTCAGTTAGGGTATCGATCCATTCACTCTGTATCGAATTTCTGTTGTCGCCTCGTCGGCTATTTTTTCTTCGAATGCTGCCTCCGCTAGCGTTGGAATTCATGCGAAGGAGTGCGGCACTGTCTTGCGTTGATACTGATCTTTTCCTTCGAAGAGATCCACCGGGCTGGTAGCTACCGTGGGGCTTATTTCTTTTAGGTGGGGAGTATGGAAGTTCTGCTTCTCCGTATGCCATGCTTGGGGGTTGGTATAACCGAGGAACACGGATGTATAAATCATCGCTAGGGCTTAGGACGGGACTTGTGATTGTGTCCATTGGGATGATTATATTTGTGGGTAATCGTGTCGATGGTGCCCTTTCTATTCCTGGAGAATATACTGATGGCGAAGGAGGCGTTATACTCCTAGTTTGGTTGTGTGGTTGGGATGATGTCGGCACCGGAAGGTATGTCTCGGAAAAATCATCGGCTGTGCTACCATTTCTGTGTCTCGCCTGCTGTGGGGGTAATAATCTAGGAGATTTTTGTGCAATGTTGAATTCAGTGGGGACGTTGCTGAATTCACTGTGTACCGATCCCTGCCTTTCACGGGATGGGTGGAGTCTGGTTGCGCCTCCCAACGGAAGCTGGGATGGATGCGGTCTTGACCTGGCTGGTTTTGCGGCAGCCACCGGTGGCATTAAGCTTGCGGTTCGGTTGTATTCCTCCTTATGGTCTTCGTCGTCCTGGGGTCTTACGGGTCCGCTGATTGGGACTTGCGTGGCGCCTCGTGGGAGGGTTGGGAGGCTGTTTGATATTTCGAATTTCTTTTCGTTGACGATTGTGGGTTCTTCGATGTTTTTGTTCATGTCTCTTGAGTTCAAGAATCTTTGTTGTTTTCTGATTGTTTTCCTCGTCAGTTGTGATGCTTTGTAACTACCTAGGTAGGTAGCTGGTAGGGGTTGGGATTCTAACCTTCTTCTCGCCCAGAGGAAACGACCTAGGATCAAAAGTAGTGTAATCAACACTGCTATGCCGCCGATTAAGCTGTGTACATGTTGTTAGTCAATTGATAGAGGATTGTAGAAGAAGGATAATCCCATACGCATATTTCGCCCCAACGGGCATATCCTGGAAAGCCATCCCGCTAATACCTCAAATATCGTATATATACCACCGCAATAACAACGTCGATTGATGAATCTGATGAGAAGAGGGAAAGAAATAAAAATGACGAAATGAGAGAAAAAATTGTTGAAAAGAAAAAAAAAGAAGAAAAAAAAAAAAAAGAAAAAGTTCGAGAACAATGATCTACCAGTTCTCTGTTTTTTTTTCTTCTCGAGGTTGAAGTAAGGAGTGATAGCGCTAGCCCAGAATTACACTAGAATCCAAAGCTGAAAATGCAAAAGCTTGCACTTGCATATGTGCCCGTGATGTTGGAATCTTCTTTTGCGTTGAACGAGGGAGAGAAAGAGCTCAAGAGAGTGGAACGGAATCGAAAAGGGAATGGTGTGCCGCACAAAATGGAAGAAGCGGCATGCAAGGGCTTACCCGCACACAAGCTTAAGGTTAGGGATTTAGTGAAGCCATTCAAGTTAAATAATGAGTGTGAAATATCCCACTGAATCACAAGGTGCGTGGGTGTGGATGTTCGGACTAGCTCGGATTTAGGGCAGTGGGAAGAATAAAAGATAAGTAACGACCGACGTCAAAGACAAGAAAAAAGAGAGTGTGGTAGGGACGCCCAGAAGGAACTTCTGGGTGGTATTGGAGGTGGACCGATTCCTTTAATATAGGTCTGTCGACTCGTCTCGAAAGCTAATTAACAGGCCAGCTGGGACTAAATATCGCTTGTATATACGTAGTAGACAGGAATGTTTAAAAAAAGTTTCACCGAGGTAGCAGTGTTTCCTCGTCGTCTGATTTATTTTTTTTAAACGCTGCAACCCTTAGTCCCGTTAGTTTCCACTCCCAAGCCATAGGGTGGAAAACAATTGGCCCGTGTGCAAGATGTATTTCTGGTTACCTTTGCCTTATTATCTTCAAGAGCGGATCTTGGCCGCTAGTGCCAATAAATGAAAGGATGTTGTTGCCTTTCGCATCCAGAAGCCAATTATGCCTTCGCGACATCTCATGAGGATCCGACAGAACTGAATCCTGAACCCTGGCATAATCTGCTGCAGCTTTTCTTAGGTGTTTCCTTTCCTTTTCCCCTCCCGAAGTTTACAAGTCGATACGCTTGATAAACAGCCTTGTTTTAATCGAAATGCCACAAAGGTATTTTTGGGGAACTCTCCACTTAGTTTTTAAAGCAATTATGTGATGTCAATTGGGGGGGTTTCCTTGCAGTTGAATTAAGTCGGGACGCTGTGGCGTCCAGCACCCGAGATGCACCTGCAGCCCTCGAACCATTAGCTGCACAATCTAATATTTCGTGCCCATGGGCTACCTAAGTGACTACTGCAATGTCACCTTATCACACCCAAAGCTAGTACACATGTGTCGGGCGACGGCCTCTTTTTAGGATGCACAATAATCGACGTTCAAGATACTCTTTTCAAACCTTAATACCCGAGCTATAATGCGAAAGTTCCATGGGGGTTTTGAACATTTCGGTTCGGGATAGTTGTGCGGCTGTGTTCTGTTCTGTTCTGCCTTTTTTTTCCCTCTCGCGTGGCCTCCGGTTGAGTCTGTATTATTAAGCTTAAATGCTCTCTTATTCGTTTGTCGCTGAACGACATGTTTGGATTCCGCTCAGTTCGAGTTCGAGGGAGGTTTTGCTTCTCATGCTCAAACGTGCGGATTGGCCGGATCGATCCTTGTCTGAAGGATTCTCAAACGGGTGATATACATATGTATTCTGCTTCTTCCTCTTCACGCAGGATTTCTGGCGCGCGCCGGCGTCATAGGGCGTCATAGGATGTCTCTTCGAATCTTTCGAGATGCATTGTGGAGGGCAAAATATCGCGTGCGCATTCGGATTATTCCTGCGGGATCGGATCTCCCCAAGATGCATGCACGGCAGTGAATCGTAAACAAGAAAAAAAAAAAAAAGTGTACTCAAGTCTAGATCCTCAAGATCTTGTCTGGGAGGGGCTCCGGGGAAGGGTCTACGAGACCATCCTGAAGCCGACCTGGGATGCATGATATGATAGCCTAGATATAATTTACCAGAGTTGAACGATTTCGCCTTTCGTCCCAGATTGAGACAACCTCCTTCTCCAGACTCGCAAAGAGGTCAGGCGAACACAAAAAAAACTTAAGCTACAAGCCGCCCCAGCGAGATAAACATGAAAAGAATAAAAAAAATAAAAATAACAATCGATTGTAGCCCCATATCTTTTTAATTTCCTATTATCTATAGATTCAAAGGGTACCGGGGATGCCCTTGCACTTGAAGTTTCGTCCCAGAATTCATTTCTATTTTTTGCCTCGACGTCTTTTTTGTTTCCCTCCCCGCTAACCCCCACTGGTACTAGAGGATGGCATAGAAAACACCGACCTTCTCCAACATCGACAATGAGACATCAAACTCTCCGAAATACACGGAATCCCGCATATCCCACCGTCGTCAGAGGTGTTTAAGAACAAGGCGAGAAAACAACAGAAGTGTGTGCCTAAAACCATGCACGTTCGATCATGTTAACATCATAGTGTATATATGTCGTGACAGCCCCCCTTCAGCAGCGCTCCCCTTCCCTCCCAGTACAGTCGACCCAGTCGATATCATACCGATGCAAAAAAAAAAAAAAAAAAAAGTTCATGCAGGATTGTCCAACCCGCATCGCATGGCCACATGCCGGGATAGATTTGCTCGATTGTTTATTTAGACGGTCAAATGTCTTTGACCGGGTTTAACAGATGTCATGATCAGAGAATTGTATTGGTATTCCGTTCCGAACGAGCGCTTTGGGGAGCCTGGGGGAAACGATGTACGAGAGCACACATGGCAGACTTAAGTGGCTATGCTTTATAGACGGATACCCTTGGACTTGTGAACACGGTCAACGGTTTTCCTAAGCTAAGCTCTTGTCTTTTGCCTTTCGTCCTGTGTGTTTCCGTTTAGATGTTCTAGGCGAAGACCGAATACTTTGTGATGTCACTGTGCTTTTTCTATAGACCCACAACGTCGACAGTGTCTACGAGACTAACTCGTATCCAGAGTAGTCTCGAGACTACTTTTTTCAGCTTTGTGTTGCCTCCAACGAACCCAGACGACATCCGCAACACACCCGCTTCTGATTGGCCGCCCACAACATTCAAATTTTCACCCCAAAAAAAGCCTAACCACCCTCCAAGA